ATTTTCTCTACCACGCAGACGGTGGGTATAGGGGGGTCGTGTACCTCTCACAGGATGGGTATGGGGTCCACTACCACTCACAGGATGGGTATGGGGTCCACTACCACTCACAGGATGGGTATGGGGTCCACTACCACCCACAGGATGGGTATAGGGTCCACTACCACCCACAGGATGGGTATGGGGTCCACTACCACTCACAGGATGGGTATGGGGTCCACTACCACTCACAGGATGGGTATGGGGTCCACTACCACTCACAGGATGGGTATGGGGTCCACTACCACTCACAGGATGGGTATGGGGTCCACTACCACTCACAGGATGGGTATGGGGTCCACTACCACTCACAGGATGGGTATGGGGTCCACTACCACTCACAGGATGGGTATGGGGTCCACTACCACTCACAGGATGGGTATGGGGTCCACTACCACTCACAGGATGGGTATGGGGTCCACTACCACTCACAGGATGGGTATGGGGTCCACTACCACTCACAGGATGGGTATGGGGTCCACTACCACCCACAGGATGGGTATGGGGTCCACTACCACCCACAGGATGGGTATGGGGTCCACTACCACCCACAGGATGGGTATGGGGTCCACTACTACTGACAGGATGGGTATGGGGTCCACTACCACCCACAGGATGGGTATGGGGTCCACTACCACCCACAGGATGGGTATGGGGTCCACTACCACCCACAGGATGGGTATGGGGTCCACTACCACTCACAGGATGGGTATGGGGTCCACTACCACTCACAGGATGGGTATGGGGTCCACTATCACTCACAGGATGGGTATGGGGTCCACTACCACTCACAGGATGGGTATGGGGTCCACTACCACTCACAGGATGGGTATGGGGTCCACTACCCCTCACAGGATGGGTATGGGGTCCACTACCACTCACAGGATGGGTATGGGGTCCACTACCACTCACAGGATGGGTATGGGGTCCACTACCACCCACAGGATGGGCATGGAGTCCAAAATAAATTAGATAAAGCATAAACTAGGGCCCTCTGTAGACTGACGCAATGCCTGGACGTGGACTACACCAAGGGGACTGGCTGTTGCTGTGGGTAGTGTAATTGGGCAGTTATTGGTAGAATTATTGAGGTAATGAATGCACAAGTACTGCACCTAGTGGTGCTTGCGGTGGGGTTGAGCTTCGGCTCCTTGGTCCCGCCTCTTAGCTAGCGTGGTTTCGCCACTAGACATCCTGAAGTTCCTCAGAATGCAAGCCACAACAGTTTCTTAACTCGTGGTTCCTTACTTTAAATGGTGATAAGAGTCATCAGGTGTAAAAATAGACTAGTGATCTTCCTCTAGGAATGTTCGGGCTTGGGACCTTTGATTGTCTTTCGAGAACGTAGACCATTCTTCTACAAGACTCATTTTTTTTAACCTGAATTTACCTGTGTTTACTGTGAGGGGCCACCATCTCTAGTGGCCTCGACGGGGACAGGAAGCCGGCGGTTAACTGATTATTATATTTCTCCCTGTTAGGTTATATTTGCAAGATTATTTAGGCTATAGATTGTTTCTTCATAGCCTGTTAATCGTATCAGTTTATAACAGAGTTTACAATATTCTTAGTTTAGCATTTTATGAGTGGCGTGGGTTGTGAGTGAGCAGTGTGTGGGTAGTGTGGGTAGCTGGAGCTCCATATACACCACCAGTTTAGTAATATAATATTCGCCCCGTGTGTGTGTGTGTGTGTGTGTGTGTGTGTGTGTGTGTGTGTGTGTGTGTGTGTGTGTGTGTGTGTGTGTGTGTGTGTACTCACCTAGTTGTGTTTGCGGGGGTTGAGCTCTGGCTCTTTGGTCCCGCCTCTCAACCGTCAATCAACAGGTGTACAGATTCTTGAGCCTATCGGGCTCAATATATGTGTGTGTGTGTGTGTGTGTGTGGCTACCTACCTACCTTGAGGCTACCTTGAGGTGCTTCCGGGGCTTAGTGTCCCCGCGGCCCGGTCGTCGACCAGGCCTCCTGGTTGCTGGACTGATCAACCAGGCTGTTAGACGCGGCTGCTCGCAGCCTGACGTATGAGTCACAGCCTGGTTGATCAGGTGTATGTGTGTGCGCTATAGGTCCTGTTACTGTCTCTGTCTCTCTCTGTCTGCCTTTTTGTCTCTCCCTCTCTTTCTGTCTCTGCCTCTCTCTGTCTGTCTCTCCCTCCCTCCCTCTCTCTCTCTCTCTCTCATGACTAACAGTGGGCCAGTAATTTGAGAGATAAGTTGATCTTTGGAGGATAAAGATGTACAGGAACTAGGATTTTGGAGACCCAGTGGGGAGGCCAGTTGAGGATGACGGGAATCGAACCCTGGACGGTATTTGTGGAATGTAAATCATATCGATTCATGTACTATTATATACTTGTGATTACATTTGATAAACTATTCGTCGTTTTTATATCCCACTTTACGTGCCACAGCGGTAGCCTCGTTTAGACCAATTGGTAAATGATTAAACTGATCAAGTGATTGATATATAGTGACTAAGCTGATGTTGTGTGGTTGATATAGTGGCTAAGCTGATGTGTGTGGTTGATATAGTGGCTAAGCTGATGTTGTGTGTGGTTGATATAGTGGCTAAGCTGATGTGTGTGGTTGATATAGTGGCTAAGCTGATGTGTGGTTGATATAGTGGCTAAGCTGATGTTGTGTGTGGTTGATATAGTGACTAAGCTGATGTGTGTGGTTGATATAGTGGCTAAGCTGATGTGTGGTTGATATAGTGGCTAAGCTGATGTTGTGTGTGGTTGATATAGTGACTAAGCTGATGTGTGTGGTTGATATAGTGGCTAAGCTGATGTGTGTGGTTGATATAGTGGCTAAGCTGATGTGTGGTTGATATAGTGGCTAAGCTGATGTTGTGTGTGGTTGATATAGTGCTAAGCTGATGTTGTGTGGTTGATATAGTGGCTAAGCTGATGTGTGTGGTTGATATAGTGGCTAAGCTGATGTTGTGTGGTTGATATAGTGGCTAAGCTGATGTGTGTGGTTGATATAGTGGCTAAGCTGATGTTGTGTGGTTGATATAGTGGCTAAGCTGATGTTGTGTGGTTGATATAGTGGCTAAGCTGATGTTGTGTGTGGTTGATATAGTGGCTAAGCTGATGTTGTGTGGTTGATATAGTGGCTAAGCTGATGTTGTGTGTGGTTGATATAGTGGCTAAGCTGATGTTGTGTGGTTGATATAGTGGCTAAGCTGATGTTGTGTGGTTGATATAGTGGCTAAGCTGATGTTGTGTGGTTGATATAGTGGCTAAGCTGATGTTGTGTGGTTGATATAGTGGCTAAGCTGATGTTGTGTGTGGTTGATATAGTGGCTAAGCTGATGTGTGTGGTTGATATAGTGGCTAAGCTGATGTAATTACCTAAGTGTAATTACCTAAGTGTAATTACCTAAGTGTAGTTACAGGATGAGAGCTACGCTCGTTGTGTCCCGTCTTCCCAGCACTCTTTGTCATATAACGCTTTGAAACTACTGACGGTCTTGGCCTCCACCACCTTCTCACCTAACTTGTTCCAACCGTCTACCACTCTGTTTGCGAAGGTGAATTTTCTTATATTTCTTCGGCATCTGTGTTTAGCTAGTTTAAATCTATCACCTCTTGTTCTTGAAGTGCCAGATCTCAGGAAATCTTCCCTGTCGATTTTATCAATTCCTGTTACTATTTTGTATGTAGTGATCATATCACCTCTTTTTCTTCTGTCTTCTAGTTTTGGCATATTTAATGCTTCTAACCTCTCCTCGTAGCTCTTACCCTTCTGTGGTTGATATAGTGACTAAGCTGATGTTGTGTGGTTGATATAGTGACTAAGCTGATGTTGTGTGGTTGATATAGTGGCTAAGCTGATGTTGTGTGTGGTTGATATAGTGACTAAGCTGATGTTGTGTGTGGTTGATATAGTGGCTAAGCTGATGTTGTGTGTGGTTGATATAGTGGCTAAGCTGATGTTGTGTGTGGTTGATATAGTGACTAAGCTGATGTTGTGTGTGGTTGATATAGTGGCTAAGCTGATGTGTGTGGTTGATATAGTGGCTAAGCTGATGTTGTGTGTGGTTGATATAATGACTAAGCTGATGTTGTGTGTGGTTGATATAATGACTAAGCTGATGTTGTGTGTGGTTGATATAGTGACTAAGCTGATGTTGTGTGTGGTTGATATAATGACTAAGCTGATGTTGTGTGTGGTTGATATAATGACTAAGCTGATGTTGTGTGTGGTTGATATAGTGACTAAGCTGATGTTGTGTGTGGTTGATATAATGACTAAGCTGATGTTGTGTGTGGTTGATATAATGACTAAGCTGATGTTGTGTGTGGTTGATATAGTGACTAAGCTGATGTTGTGTGTGGTTGATATAGTGACTAAGCTGATGTTGTGTGTGGTTGATATAATGACTAAGCTGATGTTGTGTGTGGTTGATATAATGACTAAGCTGATGTTGTGTGTGGTTGATATAGTGACTAAGCTGATGTTGTGTGTGGTTGATATAATGACTAAGCTGATGTGTGTGTGGTTGATATAATGACTAAGCTGATGTTGTGTGTGGTTGATATAGTGACTAAGCTGATGTTGTGTGTGGTTGATATAATGACTAAGCTGATGTGTGTGTGGTTGATATAATGACTAAGCTGATGTTGTGTGTGGTTGATATAGTGACTAAGCTGATGTTGTGTGTGGTTGATATAGTGACTAAGCTGATGTTGTGTGTGGTTGATATAGTGGCTAAGCTGATGTGTGTGGTTGATATAGTGGCTAAACTGATGTTGTGTGTGGTTGATATAGTGGCTAAGCTGATGTTGTGTGTGGTTGATATAGTGGCTAAGCTGATGTTGTGTGTGGTTGATATAGTGGCTAAGCTGATGTTGTGTGTGGTTGATATAGTGGCTAAGCTGATGTGTGTGGTTGATATAGTGGCTAAGCTGATGTGTGTGGTTGATATAGTGGCTAAGCTGATGTTGTGTGGTTACAGGTCCAGACACGTCCTACAGGAGGCCGGCCAGAGACCGGGGATGCTGTAGCATTAACTTCCTCAAATATGTCATCTTCATCTTCAATTTCATATTTCTGGTAAGTTGTCATTTTTGTAGGGGGGGGGACGACCCTTCGCCGCGGTGATGAGGATATATTGCATCCTGCGGAGACCTTTTTAAGCTTCGACATGTATGTTTTTTGTATATTTATATCGTACTATACTCTTCTGTTATGCATATACACACTCGCACACTCACTCACTCACTCTAGATTGGGGGAGGGGTTTACCCAGCTTTTCCCTGGTATAAAGAAATGTTACAAATATATAACGGGTAGTAGATGATATGTGAATCCATGTAGGGGGCTCTACAAGGCTTCCCCGGGTGCTGTATATCCTCTTCTTCGAAGCCAAGGGTCCCTACAAACACAACCATTGGTAGTACCTACCGCCCACTATTTACATATGTACATACAATATACATAAAGATACAGTATGTTTATCCGAGCACCCGCCACTTAAATACACCTGCTGGCAAAAGTGATATAAATTATCTTGCTGAGAGGACGTAGATGGAGCGAGGCGTGAGTTGATCTGCTGACTCTGCATTTATCAAACCATTTCCCGGGAGATTACAGCAGGTGCCCAATGTTGCAGCAGCAGCAGCAGCAGCAGCAGTAGTAGTAGCAGCAGCAGCAGCAGCAGCAGCAGCAGCAGCAGCAGCAGTAGTAGTAGTAGCAGCAGCAGCCCCCCTGATATGACCCACCAGGAGGCAGGTGTAGTGGCACTCTGGTCCCAGGCGTGAGTGCCACTTATTTCCTCTAGATAAGTGCCGTTCCTGGTTTTATAGCGGCAAACAGTGTGCTTGTGTGAAGTGGGTGGTTTATTTGCTTTGATTTGGAGCTGTTGGTCGTGCTACTCGTGCCTTTGCGAGTGCTTGTACCCGGGAACTGAGCTCTAGTTCTTGGGTCTCGGTTTCTCAGTTCTCGTGGAATGAAGTTGTGCTCTGGTATGTCCATCAGACTCGCCTAAGGTTTCAACTTACACCGGAGTCTTCTCGTTCAGTGTCCACTTTTCTGCATGTCTTGGTATCGTGTATGTTGTGATTATGTCTCTTCACAACTCAACCAACCTTCAACCCCTTCACTGCTCAGACTCCTAATATTATGTTGGTTGTAAAACGCTTTAGCTCTGCCCCCAGCCACCACCTATCCTACCACACCCCCTTCCAAGTTCAAGTATGTTTATTGAGATAAGCAAGAAATAATCGACTTGAGAATGGTCCAGGACGGACCGAAACGTCGTCGTCCCTTCAACTTCTAGTGTGTGGTCTGGTCAACATAAGCAAGAAATACATCTCAAAGGGATAGAGTAGCTTAGGCTGTTTCTACCCCCCACCCCCTTCCACCTGTCACCCACGTCCTCTCAAGGAATTATTATTTGCTTGGGCAGCTTCACGCTCTGGCAGCGTGCAGATGTGCAGGAGACCCCTGCTTAGAGCCCAGCTTAGAGCCCAGCTTAGAGCCCAGCTTAGCCCTGCCTTACTGTGTTTATTTGGCCTAAGTCTTCAACCAAATGTGAGACGGCGAGGGGCAATAGTCCATTGGCACTACGCCACCTCACTCATCGCTCCCATGATGAATTGATGATAACTATAATGATGTATTTACAAATTATGCACAGGAGCGTATTAAGTGGTCCTGGAGGCACATCAGAATTTTCGCAATGTCTATGGGTTTAGATTTATACTATGTCACTTCCACAGTGCATAGTGTAGCTGCCGACTGATCACTCGACTAAAGGGGATTGAGGCGCTTACATATACAAAATCAAATTGTAATGCCATCACATTTCTGGCATAATTGATGCATTATGTAGTAAATGAAGCGAGTGATAGATGCGGGAGAGGGGTGGGTGATGAGGAAGAGGGGATAGATAATGAGGGGATAGGTTGAGAGAGAGAGAAAGCAAGAGAGTACGGGTTAGACAGGCCACAGGTAGACAGACAGCAACGGACTAGCCAGATATGGACAGGGCGTCACCCCCACATGTTGGTACACCCCGCCTTGCTGCTGGTGCTCTTCCTCTGACTCCTACACCTTAGGCTACACTCGCCCCACAACAGTATTAAGTTTTAGTCTTAGTGTTTTTCCTGCCCGAAACGCTTTGCGTAATAGTGGCTTTAGGCATTGTATGTACTAGCTCTATCTATAAATCCATCAATGTTTTGTATCTCACCTTGTATGTATGTACTTTACCTGAATAAATATTTGTATTTTGTATTTGTACCGTGTATGGGTGACAGGGTGTCCGTGTCTGAATGGACAGGTTGTTTGTATATTTAGAAATATTATAATATTAGGTTGTATTTTTAGAAATGAACGAGCCATTAGTCACGCCCTGGGCTCTGACATCAGCAGTTTAGTTTAGTTTATTTAAGTTCTCATGATCTGCCACTCTGAATTAATGCAACTTCTTTCCCTAATCAGAAACGTACAAGCCCAAACAACCCAGAAAAATTGACCTCTTGTATGCACCAAGTCCGATGCATAGAAATAGTGCTTGAATTTGTACTAATACGTCGCATTTTTATCGGAGTGGTCAATTGATTAAAAAATTTCGACGTATTAACGCGAGAGGATGTGCTGGCAGAGAGGTCGCCGGACTCGGCTAGTTGTGCTTGCGGGGGTTGAGCTCTGGCTCTTTGGTCCCGTCATAAGGTGTCATGGTGGCTATTATTTATTTATTTATTTATTTATTTATTTATGCATATATAAGAATGTACATAAGGAATGTGAGGATACAAATATGGTAATTACAGTCTTGTAAAGCCACTAGCACGCGCAGCGTTTCGGGCAGGTCCTTAATCTAAGAAAATTTTAAGGAGGTAAATACTTGCAAAATTATAGACAAAAAATGATAACAGATTACATGAAATGAAAAAAAGATGAGAGAAAATTGTAGGTACAGTATATTAAAGCACATAGGTAGCTAAGATTGATTGCAATGACAGCTTGAATGGTAGTTGACAAAAAAATTGGTAGGCATAATACAGCAGAAACAATATAAGATTGGTTGCAATGACAGCTTGAATGGTAGTTGACAAAAATTGGTAGTCACAATACAGCATATGGCTAGCACATATGGCGTTATCATTTTCTAGGACGGCGTTGAGTCAGTCTGATTCAATGAATGGTTTCTATATAGGTCAGCTTACGGCAGCCTTGTGCTCTTAAGCAGATTCCTGGAAGATCAGCACATTGGGTTACCGCGGCAAGCAAGCCTAATTGTGACTTATATCATATGGAAGGTGTTTTTTTTAAGTTCATTTATTATGCACCCTATACCCATCTAGTGGGTGGTATGGAAAGGGTTACAGAGGCACATAATGGGCTCAATAACTGACCCACACAGTTCATTTAGCTAAGCAAGTTACAATTTTGATGAGCTAGTTACAAGAACATTGCTAGATGACAAAGCCAGAGTGAATGGTGGGTGGGGGGGGGGTATGGTGTGAAAATCCTAGTCCGGCTTCAGTGGAAACCTCAGGAAACCCTCGTGTTCAGTAGAACTCCAGGCTGCGATCCTTTTGACCATGTCGTGGCCTGGTTGTCTGGGGCATGTGCATGGGAATACCCTCCGCATAGGTTCGAAGCCTCATCACAGCTCCTACAGTTGCATATTGGCTTGGGGACCATTCAAGCTTGTTCGCATTTGTGTTGCTCACGTGGCCCTCACAAAGTGAGGTGATTCGATGAAATAACTATGCCCAAGCTTACCACCAAGTGCTGTCGGGATGTCGGGGGTATAGCCTCAGCTACCAATGTCTTTCGTACGGTCACAGTGGGTCAAGTGGTTAAGGTACCATGTAAGCTAGGTGCACTATGCAACTGGCTGTCTGGGTTTGAGTCACTTCTGGGGTGTGAAGTTTTCAGTTGCATATTGGCTTGATACAATACATCACATTAGTGTGATTACTCTTCTTCTTGCCTTCTTATTTTTTCTTATTTTTTTTTCTTCTTTATTATTTATTATTAGTATTATTATAATACACACAAATCACAATAGTGAGACAGTATATCAAATGAACAAATCCACAAGGGCCTTGATGACAGGTTCGTTTCAACACTCGGCACATAGGTTCGAACCCTCATAAAGGCCTTTGTGGATTTGATCAAATAATAATAGGGTAAAAGGTATGCCCCGTTTCAGGGATACATTGCATGGATAACCTGTTGCAGTAATGTGTGTTTTATCCTGCAGCTTGGCGGGTGTGCTGTGCTTGGGGTGGCCATCTGGACGCTGGCGCAGAAGCACACGTATGTGGCTCTTCTCACAACTGCCACATATGCCGCCACCGCTTACCTCCTCCTCCTGGCTGGCATTATTGTCGTCTTCGCTGCCTTGCTCGCCTGCTGTGCCATCCTCAGGGAGGACCGCTGCTACTTGCTTGTGGTGAGTTAATTGACTGTTGTGGGTTGCATCTAGCAGAATGGTTAGTTGTTGGCCAGAGGGATTAGAAGCAGCCCAACAGATTTCCTGTCCCTTTCAATGGGTCATGCAAATGGGACCTGGGTACAATCCCTTGGTAGGACAGGCAAGTTTGCTTTCATAACTTATGCCTCTGTTCACCTAGCAATTCAATAGGTAAACAAATCCACAAGGGCCGTGACGAGGATTCGAACCTGCGTCCGGGAGCATCCCAGACACTGCCTTAGTCGACTGAGCTACGACAGGGTTAAAAGGGTTGAAACCGAAGTTCTACTGAACTTACTGGATCCCATAGCCTCTCCGAGGCACAAACCAGGCTTTTACACAACCCCTTGTGGATTTGTTCATTTGATGCATCATGTTAGTGTTGCATCCGTGGTCTCTGTGGTGTAGTGGTAAGACACTCGCCTGGCGTTCCGCGAGCGCTATGTCATGGGTTCGTATCCTGGCCGGGGAGGATTTACTGGGCGCAATTCCTTAACTGTAGCCTCTGTTTAACGCAACAGTAAAATGTGTACTTGGATGAAAAAACGATTCTTCGCGGCAGGGATCGTATTCCAGGGACCTGCCCAAAACGCTACGCGTACTAGTGGCTGTACAAGAATGTAACAACACTTGTATATATCTCAAAAAAAAAAAAAAAAAAAAAAAAAAAAAAAAAAAAGTGTGATCTCTGTGTGTGAATTCAATAGGTACTTGAGAGCTGGTCAATAGTTGTGGGTTCAATCCTGGGGAAGGTCAGTAGTTGGTTTAGGACTGTAGGGGGGTCGTCTACTAACCTAAGTATAGGCTTCCTGACCCCAACAACAGGAATTAAACCAACAATACCATCTTACCCTCAACACTATTTAATATTATTCACCAAAACTTAAAGACCAAAACTCTGTTAAATTTTGAAATCCAGCTGAAAAATATCTTCAGGGTAAATAGGGGGACCTTTGACAAGCAGCCATTTTCCTGTCCTTGTTGAGGCCACTTGAGCATTAGTGGCCCTCGGGCAAATTCAAGTAAATACATTACAGGTATTACAATTGTTTATAGCTAGACGAGTGTTCTCTATAGACCAATGTTTCCTGGCATGCACAGATGGTTTTCTTTACAATACAATACAATACAATTTTATTTAGGTAAGGTACATACATACAATAAATATTTACAAGGATTGACTTATAGGTATAGCTAGTACATACAATGCCTAAAGCCACTATTACGCAAAGCGTTTCGGGCATGATAAACTTAAATGACAAGCTTAATACTAATTGAGCATAATGAGTAGAATGAAAACAAGAAATGAAAACATAGATGAAAAAGCAGCACAAATACAATTATGTCGACAAACAGCGCTCTTTAAAGAAAAAAAGACATTGGTTGACAATAGAAGGGTAAGGTAGGTTACAGGGAATTTATTAGGTATAGCTTCGCTTTTAACTTAAACTGGTTGAGAGAGGTACAGTCTTTAACATGGTAAAGTCTGTATGGTACAGTCTTTAACTTTGGTAACTGCAGTTGTGACTGGAAGTCCCATCACTACCAGATCTGTATACTGTATAAGGCCTGGAATACACTTGGGTTGGCAGAGTGATTAGAAAGTCCGTGGTATTCATAGCTAGTTGTTTAGATACTCAGGATAGCAAGTGTTGAGACTGCATACAACTAGGAAGGATTTGATTTTCTAAACTGTACCTATCATGATCTTTTAATGTCTGTTGGTACTATATTTTGGTAGCACTAAAGTATTTTCATAGGTTATATTATTAATGGTTTGCTGTTAGATAAGTCTTAAGTTTAATTCCCTGACTGTTACTTGTCTCTTAATTCTTTGTATTATTTTCATGGCATCCAGACTTTCATGTTCTGGATGCTAAACTAAACTAAACTTTCCTGTTTTCCTCTGGTGTGCCTATTGTGGCTGTCTGGGATGTTAAAAACATATATAGTGTTAAAATTATTAACAGGTGCAGCAGGTAACATCAGTGCAACGGTAATACCACAACATGTCTTGCAGCATAGTAATCGTTCTGTTTTTATGCCTACTATATACTGTATTCCTTGCAGTACACATTTCTTCTGCTGCTGGTGTTCCTGATAGAAGCAGTGGCCGGAGTATTGGCCTATGTGTACGAGGAACAGGTTATGGCCGAGCTCTCCCACACCCTCACCTCCACCTTCAACAACAACTATATGATAGACCCAGACGTCACTCAGGCCATAGATCAGATGCAGATAGAGGTACTGTACTCTAATGTAATTTGTATACTTACACTCGTCAAACTCACTTTTGAACTCGTGAATGCAAGAATATTTATTCATCTACACAAAGTATTTGTATATTAAAGTAAATTCTAATTGTATCATTATTAATATGGAACTAGCTATGCTGGGCCATAGATTTAAAATATTTGTACAGTAAAATTAATAATAATAATTTAATGAGGGTTCGAACCTATGCGGTGGGTGTTCCCATGCCTTAGCAACTAGATCATGACATAGTAAAAGGATTGCAACCCGGAGTTCTACCGAATTAATGTTTGTTAATGTTATATGTGTGTGTGTGGGAACACTCACTGCATAGGTTCAAACCCTCATCACCGCTCCTACGGATTTTCTCATTGATGCAATCACGTTAGTGTGATTACTGTGTGTATAATATTGATACTTATTAAAACAACCTTATGTGAGGTAGCTTCAAACTTTAACATTTTTCTTGCTAGTTGCACTATGCCTTGGCAGCCTTGACAGGCCGCTCCTGCCCTTTGTGCCAAAATGGACACCTATAATATAGCAGTGTCTCTTGCTTATGTTGGAGGTAATTAAGGGTAGTAGATACCCAGGCACCAGTACAGGTGAGATATCGATAAAAGATATCATAATAGTTATTGAGGCAGGGTGAAGTATGTAGTATCTGATTTTAGAAAATGAAAATTGGTTACTACTTTACTTTTCCTTGACATTTGTTTACTTCCTTTCAGTACCACTGTTGCGGGGCCTTAACCTTCAGCCAATGGGGAGACAGCCAATGGTTGCGTGAAAACCCAGGCATCAATAACACTGTTCCAGACTCCTGCTGCAAGACTCCCTCACCTTACTGTGGTGTCAGGAATCATCCTTCCAACATTTGGTACAATGTAAATATCAGTATGTTCTCTCATATGGTAAAATGTTTAAATGAGGTTGACTCACGCTTATTATACTCTTATGGTACAGTCTTTGTTCACAACATATTTACTGGCTTCCTGTCCCTGAATGCGGGGAAGATTATTATTATTTATTATTTTTACAATGGTGGGTATAGGAACAGACAACTTTGACAAATTTTTCCCTGAAACACGACCTGCCAATTAATTTACAAACGGGTATTTGATTACTATTGGGTGAGCAGAAGTAAACAGTTGAGGATTGCAACTAGTCAATCCTCCCTAGCCAAGACTTGAACCCAGACCAATTTGTTTGTAAGGTGTTGGGTAAGTGTGTGACCATTATGCCATCAAGGACTTACCAAAGTGGCTTAGGGAGGGAAGGAAGTTGATGGGGGTCTTAATAAGTTCATCCAGGTGTCTTGGCATTTGCAGCTTTGGTGGTTGTGGTTCCATAAGTATTATTATACTGTACTTGGGTTATCTTGAGATGATTTCGGGGCTTAGCGTCCCCGCGGCTCGGTCCTCGATCGGGCCTCCTTATTGTTACACACCCCTAGAAAGCAGCCCGTAGCAGTTGTCTAACATCCAGGTACCTATTTACTGCTAGGTAACACGGGCATCAGGGTGAAAGAAACATTTTGCCCATTTGTCTCCGCCTCCACCGGGGATCGAACCCGGAACCTCAGGACTACGAATCCGAAGCGCTGTCCACCCAGCTGGTGAAAAGCATTTCGTATTCTTTGTTCTATATTTAAACTTGGCATTTTACATTGTTTGCTTCTTTGTTTCTCCACTTTCAAACTCTGGAAAAGTAGAGTAAGTTTTAAGTTATTTATCTTATTCAGTATTTTAAAGTCCCAGTTGGGACTTTAATCAAGGCTTGATTATGCAGAACAATTAAAAATGTAATAAATATCGTTGAATACAGTAAGATTTTGTACTTTTTATTTTCATATACAAGGGTTCTTACATCCTTGTACAGCCACTAGCATGCATAGCATTTCAGGCAAGTCCTCAATCCTATGTTCCCTGGAATAGGACCCCACCAAATTGTTTAACAGTCAGGTACCCATTTTACTGTTGGGTGAACAGAGGCTACAGTTAAGGATTGACGCTCCATAAATCCTTCCCGGCCAGGATACGAGCCCAGAACAAAGCGCTCGCGAAACGCTAGGCGAGCATCTTGCCAACCACATCATAGAGACTGTTTAACAAGGTAATGCAAAATATGTATGCCACAATATAGCTGTACTTTTGTTAACACAAGATTTTAATTTAAAAAACAAAACAGCATTGAATGTAATGAAATACCAATCTCTGGGCAAGCCTTGGTGGCTCCCTGAAGCTATATGCTGAGATGGTTACCATCTAATGGGTCACATCAGTTCTAGAGGCCTACTGGAGACCGGAGCTAGAACCCAGCCCACCCTCACAGAAGCGCAGGAAGTGGTAACATTTATTTATATAAATATCAACACCATATATACATTAAATAGTATATATATATAGATTTAAGAATGTTAGACACATTAGGCAAGTCATCAGTGTACAGTATATAAGAAATAGGAATGGTCCCAAGATACTGCCTTTGTAGCACGCTTACGGTTAATAATAGTAGGAGAGGTTGTCATTGATGGCTACATATTAATGTCTGTTATTAAGATGTGATTGGATACCAAGACAGGGCAAGGTATGTACTTGGTATCTAATTTTAAAGATAATGCCTACAGTTTTATGAACCTTGTTTTCTTTTTTATACTGTATATGGCAATGGAAATTCAGCTTATCAATGAATCACCAAGGGCTGTCCTATCATCTTTGTTCTTAATTTGGGGTTAATAGAGGCATCGGGTAAAAGTAAACATATTGAAACGTTTTTGTCCCGAGTGGAAGTCAAACTCAAGACCTTACCTCTGAGAAATAACTCTTCTACATTTTATGCTGTATTTTAACCTATGCTTTATTAAGAATCATGATAAATTGAAGGTTCTTCTTTGCCAGGGCTGTATCCATCAGTTTGAAGACGAGCTTGGTCGACATCTGCTGATTCTTGGGGCAGTTGGTTGTGGTATCTGTCTGATTCAGGTCTTTGGAATGATCCTCTCCTGCTGTCTCTACATAAAACTAAAGGATGTTGATGAAAATTATTTTTAAGGGACACATACACTGAATGTTACAAATTGGTATAAGAAAATGGGCATTAATTTAGGCAAAAGCTTTGCAGTAAAAAGCAAATGTATACTGTACAAGGTATTCATTACTACCAATATTTTAAGAAATTGGGAATAGGATTTAGAGAACACATTCAGTATGAGAAGGAATACCTGAAATTTGAATTCAGTTTGAAGAGAAAAGCCAAAAAACTATTTAGGGAATGCATCTTATTATTTTTTAGAAATTGTTATTAGTTTTTTATAGAAAATACACACAAATTAGCTGTCCTAGGAGGGCTTGATTAGATCTTCATGAAGCAGCAGTGGCAGCAGAAATTGCAAGTAACATGTATATGATAAAGATAGTGAAGCTAGGAAATTTACAATTTAAAGCAAGAATAAAAATAATGGCCATTTTAGAATAATCTACCGACGAATTTATTATGGGAAAATTGGTTTAAAGCCTTTTATAACATATAGAACTCAGAAGCACCTTTGGTATGCTTTGAGAGTTAGAGGCACTCGTGGTAATTTTGAAAAATAGTAAATTGTCTACAAATAACATAGAATAAATGATGTCGCATAACCCAGTGCCAAAAGTCCATCGGTACAATTCAATAAATGATACCGATAATGAAATGGTACTTAAAATGATGCCTAGCATAAGATAAATAAGGTTTAAGAAAAATAAATATTGGCAAGAGATTAAGGGTAGAAATAAATTGGCTTAATGAGTTTATTTCGTTAAATCTAAATACAGTGTATGCATAAAGAGGATGAAAATATTTTTCATTACTATATTCCTCCCTAGCCTATTAAAAATAAAAAATCTGTCATGAGAATTAATGAGAGAATTTATTTTAAACAGATTTATTTTCGTATGGCAATTTCCACATCTAATGAAATAAATTATATCATGACTACGTAACTGAAAAGATAAAATAAAGTTTTGATACAACGTAATCTACATATATATTTTGTGTATACAGTAATTTTATTTTAGATGTATATTGAAACATTAAACTATAAAGAATTGTAGCATAATATTTAGGACTTTTGAAATACACGGTGACACTGACAATGCTGTTCTTCCCAACTTGTTGCTATCTTTTGATAATTGCCGTTATAAAAGTCTCGGATCTTTATTTTAATGTAATTATTACAGATTGTCATTCCCTTATATTTAAAACACTGTAGTTATTACAAATTATTGTTAGCTTACTTTAATATACAGTACTGCAATTATTACAAATTGTTGTTCCGTTGGTGTAAAACTGCAGCTATTACAGGTTGTCCTTTCCTGTCTTTGTTACACAGAAATTATTTTTTTATATTAAATACGATAGCTGTATGGCATGTAATGTAGTTTAATATTATGAAGTATATCGACTGTGTTAGCACATTGGAAATTTGATGAGTGAGATTCCATTAATAGTGTGTTTACCTATTGACTGGAAGATGAACAAAGCTTAACAAGAAATAGATTATACATTTTTTGTTAAGCTACAACCGATGTTTATTATAATGTGCATGTGAGAGCTATGTTATAATTTAATGTACTGTACAGTACTATATTTCTGAGTACTTCTATGTGGTAGTCTCAGTGTACATATGTAAATATTGTATGTGTAAGATATAGTACATAAACAAGGATAAAAATTCCTTATATGGAAAAATTTCAAAATTATGCAGTTTTTAATACTGTACTGTAATTTAATTTAAAAGTAATGTAATGTGCAATCCAGTATATAGAGCTGCCATTGCCTGTGTGATATTACAGAAAGATTTAATGTATTTATTGATAAAAAACAATGTATATAGTTTTTAATATAAATTAATACAAAATGGGTGCATAGAATACAACATTTTCAGTAAGTAAGGAGATACAGTTGCTGATTTAGTATGAGATTATTATTTGAGTTAAATCAAATCTATTAGTACTTAAAACTTATCAGACTATTTTAATATAACTATATTACTGTGTTTGTCGTATATGAATACTGTACTGTTACAGTCGAGATATTGCATTGCAGTTTAAGTATAGCTGCGCTAAAGTGTATCCAGCTTGTGTATGTACACTGAGTTTACTTCAGAACTGGATAATGTTCAGGACTAAAGTATACTTGCTGGTTGGTCAGTAAGCTATTGTGGTGGCCTTAATAACCCTCCAGAAGTTGATAGACCTTAAACCCAACACCCAATTAAAATGTTTGCCTTTGTTTATTAATGAAAATAAAGTATCCATCATAAAGCATTGTTTAAACATGTAAAATATTATTAGAAATCTAGGACTACAGTAAATGCTTTTAGACTGTTAAATAATAATAGATTAAGGGTACAGTACTAAAATAAATTTGGTATATAATGTAATTAATTTCCAACTGCTGTACTGTATTGATTTAAAAAAAAAAAATGGCAACAATTGATAACAAAAATGTAAATTAAATAAAATACAGTACAGTCTTCAGATTATCCATGTTACATTCTTTAACAGCAGGACAAGCAAGTTCTTATTAAATATCATACCATGGGTCCCAAGAAAGTTGGTGGTAAAGTTCAATCTAAGAAAATAGTAGCGAGGGTGATGACAGGAAAAAACAAGAGTTCATTCGTAAATATGAAGATGGTATGTAGGTTGTAAATCTAGCTAGGTAGTATACAAATCTTCAATTTAATCATTAAATTTAATCATTAAATAAGAAAATGTGTACAGTATGCAAAGAACTGCAAAGTTTTGCTGAAAAGACTCGCCCAGATAAAACTGTAGCAGGCCGTTGCATTAACCTTTTAGATGACAATGTGATGTCTCACTACAGTCTTAAAACGTAGGGAAAACAATTGTCTATTGACAGATAATAAGACAAGCAAGCAGTGAGCCACAACCAAGTCCTAGTGGTATGTCTGCAAAACATAGGAGAGTGTACCCCAGAAATATCATCACTGCCTGATGTTATAATGGAAGAGGAATCCTCTTCCAAACATTAGTGCCTCTCCTCCTCCCTCCCGTCTCCCATGCACCAACAAGAATTCACAATAAAGGTAAGGTATATTAAAATATTACTATTCTGTATAGAAAAAAATTTGAGTTAATATTTTTGGGTATGTGGAATGGATTATTTCAATTTACATTATTTCTTATGAGAAAATTTGTTTCAGTTTATATATTTTTGGTATATGAACCGTCTCTTGGAACAGATTAAATTTGTAAACCAAAGTGCCACTCTGTACAGGTTAAAACTCTTGGGTCTATTCTGTACAGTGTATGGATTAGCAACTTGACAAGGTTCCTGTTCCCAACAGTGGTATGCCTGGTTGATACCTGGTTGATGGGGTTCTGGGAGTTCTTCTACTCCCCAAGCCCGGCCCGAGGCCAGGCTTGACTTGTGAGAGTTTGGTCCATATACTGTACTAACGTATTGTGGTGATTGTGCACCCCATACTTACTCATCCATTGAATAATAGCACAAAAGGATTACAGAGACCACAAAAGTTCCTAACATTTTCACCCATAAAATAAAAAGTCCTCTAGTTAAACTGAATTTCTATTTGGATATGGTGAAGCTTTGCCAGAAAATTATCTGAATTTCACTTATTCTGTGCTAGTCTGCATTATCCAGCCAAATCTCTGGTTATCTAAATTTGTTTTGATATTGTGAAGTTTTGTAGAAAATTATTCGAACCCAATTTTGGCCAGATAACCCAAATATTCGGTTCAGCAGGCATTGGATAATTGAACTCATACAGTATTACTGTACTACTCACATTTACATTTTAAGCTGTGTAGTAGTTGTTGGCCTTGGTTGTCTAAGGTAAAGAAATGGTGAAAGTCCAAATTTTTACCACTGGTGGTTCCTAGTTTTAGAAATATTTAAATTATAAATGTAGTTCAGATTTGATACTCGATGCCTTAAAAGACAACAGTATTTTATTAGACGATTTATCCTTTCTTCATCTACCTTGCCCTTTATTTGTTACGCTTCACTGTACTTTTCACTCATTTGTACACTTGTCAAAGCAAACCTCATCACTAATTTTCACTGCCATGTGATGAAGAGGTAATTAGCTTGTTTTGTGATGGCTACACTCATCATGCTAGGAACATTAAACAATTTTTTTTCCTAATTAAGACATGAACGGGAGCCACTTGAGTGTTGAAGCCTGCATTTACCACTCCACTTTGTAGACAAGAAAAATAAATTTAATTTCGTCATAAATATCTGAAGGCCTATTAAGGATTTTTTATTTTTACATAATACAAACTAAACAAGAAATAAATTCTCAACATGCAAAAAATAGGGAACATAGGGAACAAGGGTAAACAAGCCCTAACCTGGGCTTTGGTATATAATCCCTAACCTAACATTTCTTGTATATATAAAATATAAAAATCAGAATAAAAGATTTTGACTTGAGGTCAGGTGCCAGAACCAAATGTTTGTAGTTTCCTATTGTCATGGTCAGGAGATATGTCTAGCTTGTTAAGGACCCTCCTAGGCCAATGACTGACATTTCCCGGGATGCAACCCACAACAGTTGCCTACCTCATGGATAATCATATATTGTTAGGTGAACAGTCATCAGGTGAAAGGAAATGTGCAGTGCTAATGAGTGCCAGAGACAGCCATCTGCACAACACATTATACTGGTTCTTTGGGGTGCCATTTTCATTGTACAATGGACTATTTATCATATTTTTTATATTAGCACATTGAGACAATAGCATTTGTTGCTTTGGTATATAATCTCTAACCTGTATCATTTGACAATTAAAATCTCGAATGATAGAACTTATCTCAAGCCATGAGTGATGTTCTTGGGTATATTTATATTTTGTAGCTTTGAGTGTCACGTTATTACGTGTGCTTCCGTGTAGGTTCAGTGTGTTCATTTGCAACAGTGGTTATTGCCTGTGACTATCTACCTTCAAATAACAACAGTATAGGTAATCGAGAGCTTCTAAAATATAATTATAATATATAGATTTACTTGTGTGGGTGTATAACACCCAAATACCTAGTCTGCTATTGTGCCATTATAAATAAAGTCATTATTTGTGTATAATGTTTATTTCTATATCCAATGTAAAGCTTATTATGTTTAAAGTGTTTTCTTTTTAACAGGTACAGTACTTAAGGAAATGAAAGTAGTGAAATTTGAGTCTGATATTCATTAATATATGCAGTTTCTGGTCATCCTTCTCATTTAGGGCTAGTAGTAGTAACTATACTACTACTACTACATAACACGTGATCAAACCACATTCAGAATAATAATTTATATCATTATTTTTATTAACAGGTTTGGGTTTATTGGTATGCCATACAGTACAGCACATGTATTAAGTAAAGGTAATACAATGAACACAATGTGTATATTAAAAGCTTTACTCTGTATAAAATACAAGTTAGTCCAGCACACCCATGTCTTGTATTAAAGGCTGGTTGAGAAGTGTCTGAGCTTGGTCTACTTGGAGGGAGTTGTAATTATTATTACAATTAGGAGATAATGATCTTTGAAATTTTCCCAAATCTTTATTATTTACAACTTGTAGGCATATAAAGATAATAAACCTATAAGCATAATTTGATCTATAGTAAAAAATTATAGATTTCACATTTCAATTGTAGACACGTGTGTCATTCTCTTTAAAATAAATTTCTATAATGTAAACAACTTTGTCGCATGTTGGCCATGAAATAGTACTTACACCTTGCAAATGTAAAAGAATAATTAGGCTAAATATTTAGAATGTGATAATTATACTTGTTTGACAGTAAATACTAATTTCAAGTTTTAAGTTTATTGGTAATAGTACTGTATAAATTTCATAAGGATAGAGTAGCTTAGGCTGTTTACCCTTCTAAATAATATAAACATATTGTACTGTGCTGTGTAGGAATTTTATATTAAAAAAATTTCGTTTAATAAAACAAATCTGCTAATGATTAATTGTAGTGATTTTAAAAGCAAGTTGTACTATTTCATGTTCACCAGCCCACCACGATGAGGTCTGCGACTACGGGCCGGACCGGGGAAAGTCGTCCAAAGGAAATCCTTCATGAAAAAATCCTTTGTGGAGGAATTCTTCAATAAGAATTAAATCCTTTGTTGCGTGGAACCCCAAACCACGAACCTGACGATACATATGCATTTCTCATAAAGAGAAATACATTAGTATTGTCAGAGGTACTTTGTGATTTCCCGTGATAGCTATGTTACCACGAGAAATCGCTCGCCAACAGCAAGCTGCTGGCGATATGCGGCAAAGACCACCCACAAGGAGTGGCAGGGTGAGAGTTAAGGCCACGTACAAGGAGTGGCAAGGATAAAGGTAAGGCCACGTACAAGGAGTGGCAAGGATAAAGGTAAGGCCACGTACAAGGAGTGGCAAGGATAAAGGTAAGGCCACGTACAAGGAGTGGCAAGGATAAAGGTAAGGCCACGTACAAGAAGTGGCAAGGGGAAATGTTTATTAAAAAAAAAGTAGAGGGCATCTTCAACACACATACTGTGTGGGATAGACCCCTTCCTCCATACCTCCACACATGCTTTGTGCACCTATCAATGCACACCCTTGTTCTATGCCTCCACACACAAGCTTTGTGCATCTTTTAATGCACACCCTTGTTCTATATCTCCACACACATGCTTTGTGCATCTTTTAATGCACACCCTTGTTCTATGCCTCCACACACATGCTTTGTGCATCTTTTAATGCACACCCTTGTTCTATGCCTCCACACATGCTTTGTGCACCTTTAATGCACACCCTTGTTCTATGCCTCTACACACATGCTTTGTGCATCTATCAATGCACACCCTTGTTCTATGCCTCCACACATGCTTTGTGCATCTATCAATGCACACCCTTGTTCTATGCCTCCACACACATGCTTTGTGCACCTTTAATGCACACCCTTGTTCTATGCCTCCACACATGCTTTGTGCATCTATCAATGCACACCCTTGTTCTATGCCTCCACACACATGCTTTGTGCATCTATCAATGCACACCCTTGTTCTATGCCTCCACACTCATGCTTTGTGCACCTTTAATGCACACCCTTGTTCTATGCCTCCACAGTCATGCTTTGTGCATCTTTTAATGCACACCCTTGTTTTATATCTCCACAGTCATGCTTTGTGCATCTTTTAATGCACACCCTTGTACTATATCTCCACAGTCATACTTTGTGCATCTATCAATGCACACCCTTGTTCTATGCCTCCACACACATGCACACCCTTGTTCTATGCCTCCGCTCATGCACACCCTTGTTCTATGCCTCCACACACATGCACACCCTTGTTCTATGCCTCCACACACATGCACACCCTTGTTCTATGCCTCCACACTCATGCACACCCTTGTTCTATGCCTCCACACTCATGCACACCCTTGTTCTATGCCTTCACACTCATGCACACCCTTGTTCTATGCCTTCACACTCATGCTTTGTGCACCTTCAATGCACACACCTTGCTCTATGCCTCCACAGTCATGCTTTGTGCATCTATCAATGCACACCCTTGTTCTATGCCTCCACAGTCATGCATTGTGCATCTTCTATTGCACACCCTTGTTCTATGCCTCCAGTCGTGTATTGTGCATCTTTTAATGCACACCCTTGTTCTATATCTCCACAGTCATGCTCTGTGCATCTTTTAATGCACACCCTTGTTCTATGCCTCCACAGTCATGCTTTGTGCATCTTTTAATGTACACACCCTTGTTCTATATCTCCACAGTCATGCTCTGTGCATCTTTTAATGCACACCCTTGTTCTATGCCTCCACAGTCATGCATTGTGCATCTTTTAATGCACACCCTTGTTCTATATCTCCACAGTCATGCTCTGTGCATCTTTTATTGCACACCCTTGTTCTATGCCTCCACAGTCATGCATTGTGCATCTTTTAATGCACACCCTTGTTCTATATCTCCACAGTCATGCTCTGTGCATCTTTTAATGCACACCCTTGTTCTATGCCTCCACACACATGCTTTGTGCACCTTTAATGCACACCCTTGTTCTATGCCTCCACATACATGTTAATTTTACTGTAACTCCACACACACACATGCTCTGCATCTCCATTAGTAGAAGTATGTTTCTACCTACATACCCATGCTGTACACCTCTCTTAGACCCCTCACTGTGAATCTTCACAATGCCCTGTGCACTTCTCCATTTCCGGTCAAGACGCAATACTTTTGCACATCGCTTTATCTCTTACTACACCCTTAGATCCTTGCAAGTGCAAGTGCCTCATTTAGGCACATACTATGCACAATTTACAAGGGTTCTTTATCCTTCTCGTTCTGTACCACTATGAACTATGTCCATCGGGTGTTTCTTGCTACCACTTATCAACGACTTGCCTAAACTTCATCACCTCTACACAATCCTCCTTGTGATTTAACTATCTGTTCACAACATTTTTCTTTCCCACATCCTATAAAGATTCCTATCACCTCCATATGTCATGACAGGAAGTCTGTCATGGACTGTTAGGCTTATCGAAGCTCCCCTAGGCCAACCACTGACCTTTCCGAAGATGAAACTTAAATTAACAGTTGCCTTAACTTCCAGGCACCTATTCGCTGCTTGGTAACCTGAAGTATCATTTGTAAAGAAAATTTGCTCAAACATCACGTCCTGCCTGGGAATCGAACCCAAGACTAGTCAGTCGTTAACTGACTGGCTGAACACTAGATGAGCATAGCGCTTTTCACAGATGTCTACTCTTCAAACACCAAGACATGCACCATGACTTTCTTCTCATACACACTAATGGATGCTTATTACAGGATTTGGTGTGATGTAGGTAGGATTGTGTACAGTAGGATCGTTAGGTTTGATGAGCAATATTACATTGGACAGTCTCATCATAGAGAGTCACATTCGGACAAGTCTCATCAGAAAGTCACATCGGACAGTCTCATTAGAGAGAGTCACATTGGACAAGTCTCATGAGAATGTCACACCAGACGTCTCGTCAGAGAAAATCACGTCGAATAAAGTCTCAACAGGGAAAATACAAATGTCTTATGTTTTTGTCTGAAGACACAGGGTGTTATAGGGAAGATAAGGGTAGATTGGATTAGGTCTGGGTTAAGCTGGATCAGGTTAGAGTTGATAAATTATGCTACATATCTAAGTGACACCATACATAGCCCAAATAAAGTCTCACAACCGTAACACCAACTACATGCAGATGCTGCCCATATCCCATACTAGCCACCGACGCATGATACTCGCTCGTTTTGTCATCCACACGCAACATTTAATCTTTCATTTGTTCTTGCATACCAACCCTTAGGCTCTCTCCTTGTCAAGCATGAACAATTAAATATTCACCTCTTCCAGGTTGCTATGGACACTCCATAGTCTACCAACTTACGTAGCTTTGCTGTGCTATAGTTATCTTGAGGTTATCTTGAGATGATTTCGGGGCTTTTTAGTGTCCCCGCGGCCCGTTCCTCGACCAGGCCTCCACCCCCAGGAAGCAGCCCGTGACAGCTGACTAACTCCCAGGTACCTATTTACTGCTAGGTAACAGGGGCATTCAGGGTGAAAGAAACTTTGCCCATTTGTTTCTGCCTCGTGCGGGAATCGAACCCGCGCCGCAGAATTACGAGTCCTGCGCGCTATCCACCAGGCTACGAGGCCCCCTCGTAGAGATGCTAGATTGTATTTTATAATAAAATTTTGTCCTAGCCTTCCTTTGTGTACTTTGATTTCTTTATCTATCGACCTCTGCATTGCAATTTTCTCCTACCTTAACATACCCCATGCTGCACGCCCCTCCAGGCCTTGCAAATCATCTACACCCTGTACTTCTCAACTCCTAATATCACCAATGAAATCCTGCCCTGACTGCAAGGCATTTATGCACTAAGCCCCTTCACCAAAGAGGCCAGTCCTGCTCTGTAAGTTCACCATTAGACCTCCTGCTCTACTCCACCATCTGTCACCTCTTTGCTCTACACCTTCGCCTTTTGGCTACCTTGTTATCCTCATTTTTCCTCGTCTGCCCTCTACTCTGAAATTCTACTT